TTTTCATTTCCATCATAAATAAAATAATTATAGTTTATTTATATTTTTATTTTGTATATAATATTAAATGTGTGCCCAAATGTTTAGAAAATCGAGAGATATCATAGAGCTCCATCCTCAATTTTACTTATAAACAAAGCTCGTATAGTGCACGGGTCCTAACTAATAAAAATGTTTAGAAAATCAGACCGGACCAACCAATCGAACTGGTTGAACCATGACCTAAGGCCTTTACCGGTTTGGTCACACCCCCAATAACTGGATTTGCTCAAAATTTGCTGAAAATCAGCTGACCAATGAAAAATAGGTGAACCGGTCCCGATTTCATGAAACCGCTCAGGTCTATACATAAGTGAAATTTTAAAATATTGTTAACAAAATTTGAACCCAAAACCTCTTATTTTCATAAATTACTTAAGTATCACTAATCAACCTCTTTACTTATATTAATTAATGACTATTTATTGTACATATTATATTATTATGCATGTATTTTAAAAAAATATAAAGGGTAAATTACAAAGACCCCCCTGTACTTTGTTTTGCAACAAACACCCCCTTTGTACTATGACCGTGAGACAAAGACCCCTTTCCGTTAGCCTTCCATTTGAAAAACCGTTACAATATTTTTTAATCCCCATATTACCCTTGGACGAAAAACACTGTTCATCTTCCCCGATCTCATACACTAACAGTAGCGGCACTAATCTCATCTACCTCGGATTTTTTCATATTTCTCCCAGATTTTTTCAAATCCAGAGTGCTATGTTCATGATACACTAACAGATCTGGAAGACAAAAATCCGGAGTGCACTGGCGTGAATCCTACGGGGATGGCGTTCTATACAGTATCCTAGACAAGCTGCACCTTCTTCATAAATGATAAATCCCATTTAACTAAGCTACTAGTATGCTGTAGGAAGGAGGTTTGGAGACGTTAATCCTACGGGGATCGCGTTCTATAACAATATCATAGACAATCTCCTACTGAGAGGTGAGTCAGAGGCTTGGAATTTAATTCTAACCAAATCTGCTGTGATAGACCTCAAGACTATAATTCTAATAGTATGATAGACAATCTCCTAGACTCCTGTGTTCCTCTTATCGTCTGTAACAAATTTAGGCTTGTGTCGGCAGGGATGGAACCGTTTGTGACCTTGTATCATCACGACCTGCCACAAGAACTGGAGGACAGGTATGGGGGATGGCTGAGCCCTCTAATACTGTAAGCCGATGAACATATGTTTCTCTAATTATCTGAATCTCGTTTAGATTTTATGAATTATGAAACAAAATTTCTGGGGAAGTCTGCGTTTGTGTCTCACCGTCACAAATCTTGTGATGAAATCGTGAAGAGAGCTTGACCGGAAATAGAAAATGGGATTTTGATTTTGTTGGTGCTTATTGTTGCAGGGAAGATTTTGAGTATTTTGCGGAAATCTGTTTCAGGAGCTTTGTGGAGTAGCTTGAATGAGCCTAACGCTTATGCTGTTTATGCGCATCTCAGGGGAGTGTATCCACCAGGCCATTGTTCGAGATTGAACTTGTGACTATACTTCACAATATGGTGTTGTCCTACACCAAGGCCGCTAATTTGTACCGGACTTTTATCGTCCGGATCTGTTAGTGTATCATAAACAGTGCACTCTGGATTTGAAAAAATATGGGAGACAGAAATATGAAAAAATCCGAGGTAGATGAGATTAGTGCCGCTACTACTATTAGTGTACGAGGTCGTAGAAAATGAACAGTATTTTTTTGTTTGAGGGTAATATAGGGATTAAAAAATATTGTAACAGTCTTTTTGGACGGAAGACTAATGAAAGGGGGTCTTTGTCTCAAGGTAACGGGGTGGTCTTCATCATAGGCCCCATAGTACAGGGGGGTTTTTATAATTTATCCAAATATAAATTAAAAGACTTAAACCCTGATCATTTATTATAAAATTAAGAAGATTACCATTCATCTTTATATTCAAATACATTAAATGTTATTTATAGAACCCATAATATATATATTATTTGACCTCTGTTTCAATATTGATCATCATATGAATCTCTCTCTTCTCCAGTTCTATATCCGATTCGGTTATCTGAACATTCTAATATAATGTGAAAATAGGAACTGGTTGGGGTTGAAGTTTCAGCTTACGGCAACGATTCTCTTGATTGCGGAGGCACTTTTTTTTGGACTCGCGCATTAAAAATCAATGATCTATTGCCGTGGTCCGTATGAGATTATATTGGCCCCAAATCACGCCCGACTAATTGACCTGCCTTCTAATACTCTTGTCTACATTAACTTCATATCTGGTATGCATGTCTATATTAATTCTTAATGCATTATTACGTTGTGCATACTTTCTTCTTATTCATTCATTTATTCAACCGTCGGTTTCTTTTTCTACGAATGATGAGATGTTTTTAGTGTCCAAGCCCAAAGTCCAAACAACTCTGCCCAAAAGTATGTAAGATGTAGACTCCTTTTCTGTTTTCATACGGAAATAGTGTTAATATTTATTGATTGAAGGACACATGTGAAAATACAAGATACAAAAAAGATATTTAGATTTTAAAGGACTAAAGTCTTTGATTGGATTTAAAAACTTAAATTTTTTTCTTTAAATTATCAAATATATATATATATATATATATATATATGATAATTATGTATGATATATAGATATAACTTTTATAATTTGTATGAAACCTAAGACAAATGTTTTCTTTATAAAATATAATATAGATTAATACAACTACTGTTTGCAAATAGCGACATTATGTGATGTCAATAAAATATTCCGATATATCTTTTATGGCTCAGATGTGAAGGCAAAGTATATATTGACATTACCTAATAATAATAATAATTTCACCTCATTATTTAAACCTTCACTGTGTGTTTCTCATAAATGCTTTAATCTCTCCTACAATTTTCCAAATATTTTCCTTGACATTTTAAAGAACCTATGCAAATTGGACCCTGCCACTATTTCCTTTTCAAATAGAAAAGTTAAAAGTACATTGTTTCATATTACTTTTATTTTATGGAAGCAAGTTTACAAAGTTGTTCAAGCCCCACATACTTTTGTTGCTTAGAAGTCCAAGTTAGAAATGAATATGTAATGAGTGCCCGCCCATGATAGACACTCGAATAAAAAAATATTTCCGGGCAAATTAATTAGAAGTTATTTAAAAAGCATCACGTAATCACTTTTTATTAAATTAGGTTCTTAACATCATACTAGTAGAAGGGGTCCATTTGTATAATTTTTTTAAAATGTTGAGGGAAAATTTTGGAAAAATCAAAATATAAGAGAAATTAAGCCATTTGTATGAGCTTACGTGTCATAAAAAAAAAAAAGGATACGAGACACAAGTTGGATATGTGTTAATATGTGTCCCTATTCCCAATTTGACTTATTTGTAAGGAATAGTGGAAACCTCAATTTAGGCAATCATACTCTCCTTTAACCAACCAAAAGTTTAGCTGGGCTCCATTTGAATTAATGGGGTGACTCCTTTCTGGAGTTAGATGCGAAGACCCTAATCAATACACACAGACACAGTAAGAGGAATAACCCTACCGTCGAATGGGTCTAATTGGAATATGACCTTAGGATCAGTTTGATTTGCAATTGGAATTGGAATCTAAATGTTTTAGAATCAAAATTAGAATGATCTATTTTTATAGTGTATTTGGTTCAGATACGATTAGAAATGAAAATTAGTATAAACAAGAACGAGATTTCATTCTTAAGAGAAGAATAAAAAATGATCATTTCTTTAAATGAGAAAATACCATTTCAGAAAGAATGATAATGAAATTCTAATTCTGTTCAACCAAACAATTAGAATTAAAATAATTCATTCTGATTCTGATTCAGATTCAGGACCCTATTCCTACAAACCAAATGGGGCCTTAATTCAGAACCAATGGAGTCCTCTGTCTGGCGACATCTTATTGGCAATTTAGTAGATTCATTCTGATTCAGAGCAAACATTATAGAGCATCTACTTTGATAGTTAAGATAGTAACCTCCCAGATGGAGCTCAAACCTTCCAAGCCCATCCTGAAATCGACCGAAGAAACTAAGCAAGAATTTGGCCTGCCACATCGAACCAAGGTCCTAACATTAAATAATTGAGTGCATGGGATAACCATGTCCATACCTAATTCTTGGCTTGCTGTATACGCCAACGTGCTTGATTATTTTCGATCTAGCGAGCTTCTTCGTTTGTTCCATGCACGTGGGCCCCGTAGAAAACGCGCCTGGGCCCGCCGCCCGTGCCAGGTGTAATGGTTAAAGGCTTAAAGCTCATACAGTTGTTAAAAAAAAAAGCCTTTTATTGTTCACTCCACGTATGTATTTATCTCTGGCCCCGTATAAAAAGCGTATTGGTGAATTGGGAATTTTCCATGGATACGATCGCTACGTGGAATGAACAATCTGACACTGAGTAGATTGAAAACGAAAATCCACCGATCGTATCATTTGTCTGGTTAGTTGACGTTCAACAATCTGACACTGGCTATGAGTAACATAGTCTCGGGATTCCCTCCATCTAATCTGGTCTAATTTCTTAATAAATGGTTTCAGCAGGTAATTTCCACTCACAACTCACAAGCTCATCATCCCACGGCATGGATCGAGATCTGCTGTGTGCATTGGGAACATCTCCAATACGATGCGTGTAAGGCGCCCTGTGTGAGGAGCAGATCCGATCTCCTACGGATTGCTCAAATATACACGTATACTGGTGGTGGAGGACTGGCCGACACGCCGACGACTGGGACTCTGCCGTCTGAGATTGGGAGTCAATCCGGGCGGCTGGAGCTTCAAGTCCGGCCGCCTTGTACATTTCTTGGCCACACAAGAAAGCTGACACCGCCTCAACCTCAATCAATATTCCTTGCCATTAATATATAATTTCTTAATTCTTGGATTTTCATTACTTAATTTATATTAATTATTTATTAATAAAAAAGTTTATATGTGAATTCTTTTTTCTTCACTCTTCACTCTACTGAATAAGTCTTCCCTTTTGGTCTATACTCATGTTCACCCGCCGATTTGAAGGCGTCTAATCTAACATGTCACGGCGAGCTACTGCTCCCTACTTCTTCCGTTTTCTCTTTCTTACCTTCCTTTTCTCTTGTCTTTCCCGCTGTGGAGCTGCTGAGTTTGATATCCTACTCAAATTCAAAGCCGCTCTTCATTCTTCTGATACGCATGCTTTTCATTCATGGATACCGGGAAATGCACCCTGCAACTTCACCGGAGTTTTATGCGGTTCCGATGGATCCGTGACGGAAATCAATTTGCCCAATCAGCGTTTGGTCGGAGTCCTTCCACTCGATTCCATCTGTCAGCTTCCATCCCTGCGGGTGCTCTACCTTGGAAACAATTTCCTCCACGGACCCATTACACAGGACTTGAACAACTGTACTAGACTGCAGCATTTGGATCTCGGTTTCAATTTTTTCTCCGGAAGGGTGCCCGATCTCTCCTCTCTCAGCAAATTAGAGCTCCTCAATCTAAATGGCAGTGGATTTTCGGGTCCTTTTCCATGGAAATCACTAGAAAACCTGACCAATCTCGCCTTCTTGAGTCTCGGAGACAATCAATTCGATGCGAGTCCTTTCCCATTGGAGGTTCTGAAGCTCCGGAAGCTGCACTGGCTCTACCTCTCGAATTGCAGTCTCCAAGGACAAATTCCAACAGGTATCGGGAATCTCGTCCTGCTCACAAACCTAGAACTCTCCAGCAATGATTTAATCGGTAATATTCCCGCCGATATCGTGAATCTTAAAAATCTCACGCAGCTTGAGTTATATGCCAATGGATTGACCGGAAACATTCCAGTCGGGTTCGGAAAGCTCACCAGTCTCCGTAACTTCGACGCTTCGACTAACAATCTCGAAGGAGATCTCTCGGAACTCAGGTCCTTGACGCAGCTCATCTCTCTGCAACTCTTCGAGAATAGTTTTTCGGGAGAAATCCCAAAAGAGTTTGGGGATTTTAAGTATCTCGTGAATTTGACGCTTTACCGGAACAACTTAACTGGTAGTCTCCCTCAGAGGCTTGGTTACTGGACGGACTTCGATACCATCGATGTCTCTGAGAATTATTTGACGGGTCCGATTCCGACTGATATGTGCAAGAATGGCAAATTGAAAGTCTTGCTCATGCTGCAGAATAAGTTTACCGGAGAAATTCCGGCCACTTACTCGAATTGTTCGACTCTAACTCGTTTCCGAGTAAGCAATAATTCCCTTTCTGGCAGTGTCCCTGCAGGAATATGGGGTTTGCCCAATCTCAACATCATCGATTTCGCTATGAATCACCTGGAAGGAGCCATTACGTCCGACATCGCGAATGCCAAAGCACTCTGGCAGTTATACATCGCAAATAATAGATTTTCAGGTGAATTGCCGTCTGAAATTTCAGAAGCGACGGCTGTGGTTTCTATTGATTTGAGTTCTAACAATTTTTCAGGTGACATTCCGCTTAGTATCGGAAAATTAAAGAAGCTCAACATTATTCAGCTGCAGGATAACATGTTTTCCGGCAGAATACCCGATTCGTTAGGTTCATGCGTTTCTCTGAACGTCATAAATTTCGCCAATAACTCGCTCACGGGTCAAATTCCATCGACACTGGGGACATTACCCTCCCTGAACTCGTTAAACCTATCGAATAACCAGCTAACGGGATCAATTCCGGCGAGTCTATCTTCTCTTAGGCTTAGCCTTTTCGATGTGTCACACAACAGATTAACGGGATGCATACCGCAATCTCTTGCGCTGGAAGGTTATAACGGCAGCTCCGCTGGTAGCCCCGGACTCTGTGGTTCGAACAATGGCTGCTATGGTCCCTGTCCGTCAGATTCTGGCAGTTCAGTGGGGCTTCTTACACTTGTATTTTGTTTCGTAGCGGGAATTGTTGTATTGATAGCGTTGCTTGGGTGCTTCATTTTTATAAAAAGTAAGAGACGAAATGATGAACAAGACCGTGCATTGTCAAAAGACTCTTGGAATGTAAAATCATTTCGTGTGTTGAGTTTCAGCGAAGAAGATATATTGAATTCGATAAAAGAGGAGAATTTGATTGGGAAGGGAGGGTCTGGAAAGGTTTATAAGGTGATTCTGGGGAACGGAAAGGAGCTGGCGGTAAAACACATATGGAACTCAAAATCCGAGGGCCGGAAAAGCCAGAGTAGTAGCACGGCGATGCTGAAGAAGAAGAGATCAGGAAACCCGCCGGAATTCGACGCGGAGGTGACGGCACTGAGCTCGATACGACACGTCAACGTGGTGAAACTGTATTGCAGCATAACCAGTGAAGATTCGTGTCTGTTGGTGTACGAATTCCTGCCCAACAGAAGTTTGTGGGACAGATTGCACACGTGTCAAATGAGAGAACTCGATTGGAATACACGTTACGAGATCGCGATCGGGGCGGCGAAGGGATTAGAGTATCTGCATCACGGTTACGAACGTCCCGTCATACATCGTGACGTGAAATCCAGTAATATATTGTTGGACGAGTTTCTAAAGCCCCGAATCGCCGATTTCGGACTCGCAAAGATCGTGCACGCAAGTGGTGGTGGTGGGAGCGATTCGAGTCAGGTCATCCCGGGAACGCACGGTTACATCGCTCCTGGTAAAGTATTTTAGTTAACCCTATATTTGGTTTCTGTTTAGTTTTTAGCTTCTACCTAGTATGGGTATGGGTATACACCATACAGTATAAAACTATTATATCAATCGCTATTAATTATTTAATTACATGAGGAAGGTCGGCCTCAAATCAAAAGAATGTATTCGTACTTTGACACCGTCAGATTGGCATCCATGGTGCGTGCTGCGTGCTGACCAACCACGAATTATTATCAATGGTAAGGTAATGGAGTTTAGATTTACATATTTGGTGGATTGGTGCAGAATACGCATATACGTGCAAAGTGAACGAGAAGAGCGATGTGTACAGCTTTGGAGTGGTTTTAATGGAGCTGGTGACGGGAAAGAAGCCAATAGAGGCGGAATACGGAGAGAACAAGGACATAGTGCAGTGGGTATATAGCAAGGCGGGGAGCAGGGAGAGCATGACAGAAGTGGTGGACGAAAGGATCCCCCAAGGGTTCAGGGAAGATGCGGTGAAGGTGTTGAGAATAGCGATTCGTTGCACAGCAAGGCTTCCGGTGCTGAGACCTTCCATGAGGACGGTGGTTCAAATGCTGGAGGACGCTGAGCCACGTCAATTGGTCAGCATTGCCATTGCTGAAGACGACCGTACTCACGACGGAGTCCACACTGAGGACAAGAATGTCGACCACATCGATCAGTGGCCCTGATGTGGAAAGTTGTCCTTGACTAGTTTAATTTTTTTTTTGTGTGTGTTATATGATGGGTTCAGGTGGGAATTAATCAAGGCTCTACGTCTGTCTCTACCTTGTTTTCCTCCTAGCTTAGCTCCTTTTAATTTCTACTTGCTTTAAAGTGCTTCATTTCGAGCGGCAGTCGGCAGGTATGAACTATTGAGTATACATTTCGAGCGGGAGATGTTCGGCTCGGCTCGATCGGTTGTAAATAAAACAACATTTCACAATAAATAGACTAAAGTCGCTGATGGTAATGCTGCACGATTTTATCTCCAGCCCATCCAGCCCCAATGCGTACTTCCTAGTTCAGTCAATGTGCAAGTGCCAGAAAACCTTATTGTCTCGCTCCTTACAAATTACAATGGATAACAAAGCCAGATCAAACTTAATTAGCGTCATAACAGGATGATGCAGCCATGTTCTCCACGACTCTGATCTTCTACTACTATGTCAAAATGAAGACATGCAATGCAATGTATTGGTTTTACTGGTGCAAATTGATTTTTATATATTGATTTATTAAGATCATTGTTTGTAAAGTTAATCTGAAAATGAAACCGTTTTTCTTGTATAAGTCATAAGGTCAGTGGTTCAGTTGTCTTGATCAAATGTATATCGTAACTAAACAATAAAATTGGGCATATCTCTAATGTTATTTATTCATTGTATTAAATAAAATATAACATATAACATATAATAATTTTTTTATAATTAATAACAGAAATTATTCAAATATAAAAGAGAAAATTCATGAACAGTATCCTGAACTTTGGGGGTTGTGTTATGTCAGTTTCCAAATTTCAAAACGTTTTCTGCAATATCTTGAACTTTCAAATTGTGTCTCCCTAGCGTAAGTTGATTGTCAGTCAACGCCGTTACGTGGCATTAGTTGTGCATTAAATAATTTCAAAATGGCAATATTTTCTTTTATGATATTTTTCTAACCATTTTACCATTTTGTCTAAGTGTTAAAAGAAGGAAAGGGTTATGAAACCAAACATGTAATCATTTGATCATTGAACAAGGGAGCTTGAAAAGGGGAGCACAACAGTCGATCGGTGTCTGGTTTCATAACCCTTCTCCTTTCATTCTTCTAACACTTGGATGAAATGGGTAAAATGGTCAGAAAAATATCACAAAGGGTAATTTTGCCATTTTGAAATTATTTACTATGCACCTTATGTCACTTGACGGTGTTGACTAATGGTCAACTAATGATAGGGATCTGTTACACACAATTTGAAAGTTCAAGGTACTGTAAAGACGCATTTTGAAATTTGCAAACTGACTTGGCACAACCCCAAAGTTAAGAAGAATTAACATTTGAACCATAAACCATCAGTAATCAGGTCACATGATTCAATAATTCAACTTATTGGACACAAGGTCATTAACAGATTCATTCATTTTTTTATTGTAGATAAATTAAATGAGTTAGCAATGAAACTAGCTTAGAATTATAGTCGAGTAAGGCTATCAATGGACCAGATATTGGTCCAACCTGACCCGGTCCAATGTGAATCCATTACAGATGAGCAAGGTCCAATTCAATAAGTACTTAGACCATTAAGTTTGAACTCATTCAATTCAATGTGTCTTATTGAAATGTCCAATTTGTTCAAATTGGTTTTAATTTAAATTGGGTCCAATCTGAATTTGGTCTACCAACACCCCAACTTTAATCTTTTGTCAATAGATTGGATATTGATTCAACCTGACACAATCCAATATAAATTCTTTATGGATGGACTAATTCAAACAGTCCAATAGATTACAAACACTAGTGAAGATCAAGAAAAAAGTGTGAAGGTTTAGGAATATGCATACAGAAAGAAAAAAAAAATGGCGTTACAAAAAATAGAAAAAAAAAAGCCTCGGAATTGTTATTCCATGAAAAACTTTGGCCCAGTAAAAGGAAAATAAAATACATGCATGCATGAAATGAACTTTCACTTTAATTCACCTTGATTGTCTTAACACAATTGGGTTCAATTGGACTGGCCAAGTCGACATTTGGCGAGAGAATACTTGGAACAATAATTGATGAAGTGTGGAAGATGCGTGAGAACTGTTCTTTCATTTTTCGGATAATTTGGCCGACCCGTTATTATGTTGACATGTGCAATGACCCAATGATCCGATGATTGGATGACATCTCAGTATTTCTGTACACTTCAATAGGCCAGGTTAGCTTGGGCACCTCAGCCAAGATCAAGCAGTTTGTGCTGTTCCGACCTATCGAGGTATTACATAGCCCTCTTTTAAAAGCTAGTCAGTCATTTTCGACCTTTTTGGGATCACACCACATGTCAACAAGTCTTACCCTTCTCTCGCCTGGATCGGTCATACTCGATAAACCTTATTAATTCACACGAAGTCCATCTCCAGGTGCAAAACGGATTCTTGGTTATGCGGGCCGGAGATGTCGGATATGTTTCGTGAGGCCTACGACAGCTCGCCTATATAAAGGCATCACCTTCAGACTCATAAGGTACATTCGATTCAGCTCTCACTTGCTATTACTGTCAAAGCAAAATCAGCTCACTACAACACTCTTCGCTAACTTAAGCATCAGATTGCCCACATCGGGTAAAGAACCCCGGGACCTCTGATACTGTCTTTCTTGTAGATCAACCAGGCGGCCTCACTAGCCTGACGTCCGAGCCATCCTCCAGTAGGGAGTACCAGACCGCACATCATTAATTGGTGCCACCTGTGGGAACCGCTACAAAAAGCCTAGTTCTCACCATTTCTTTTTAATTTACTGATCCATGGCATCCACTAGCAACAACCAGCCTGCAAACGTCAACAACAACGATATGCAAGTCAAAGGGGGAGGGGGGGTTGAGGGGTCTAGAGTAGTCTATTGTCAACCAAAAAGTCCCATCTGTGACAATCGGGAAATTCATAATGCCATTGACCCTACCCGATTTGCAACCAATGCCGAACCCGGTCTTCCCATTGCACCAGGTGAATGCCCCTCTCCCCACGGTAGAGTCATCAGCGGTTCCCACAGGGGTCAATCTGTGGCAGTTCTACGAGTTGGTGCAATATGTCCATAGTATGAAAATGCAAATGTGGGTGTGGGAGGAGAGGTTTGTGCCTTCATGCCACCACAACAGCAACAACCATAGCAGTCGTAACCATTCCAGCAAAACTTCAACCAACAAAACGAGAACAACCAGAGTAACCAACAACCAGGCAACCAACAACTTGATGTCAGACACCAGGACTAGGTTCCGAACCCACCTCGTCGTCCTGACAATCGGAACCAGGTCCCAGTGGAAGAAAATAGCAGAGCCATGGCACCAATCGGCACGGAAGGGAACAACACCACCCAGGTTCAAACAAGAGACATCGTAGACGTTTGCGTCGTGGCACTGGAAAGAGCAACATTGTGCCCACCAGTAACAAGGAAGTTGAGAAGGAGAAAAAGGGTGAGGTTAGCTCGATCGTTGCGCATCCAGCAATATCGCGCATGACCTAGCCCTCACCTCTAGCACTAGAGACTCTTATGGCCCTGTTGCCTAAAAACTTTAAAGCCCCAAGCTTGGAATCCTAAGATGGAATAACCAACCCGATTGATATGATACTAAAACTAGGGTTGAGCAAAAAAATGAAAAATCGAGCTTATATATATATATATATATATATGTATGTATATAGTATTATCTACTGACCGTGAATTGATGCCAAATTCACGGGCAGGATGTGGTTTATAGGGGGGGCTGGAATTCAGAATTCTACATCGTGTGTTTCTGTACTTTTCCATTTTTTTTTTGGATTTTCCCTTTCTTTCCCTCTCTCTCTCTCTGAGCTCTCTCTCTCGAACTCTCACTCTCTGTCTCTCTCAATGTACTCACTACTCAGTCTAGTCCTCTTCTCTTCCTATTATTTCAGGTGTTCAGCCAAAGCCAATCAATCCTCAGGCTTCAGCTAGGAATGTCACTCCCTTTGTCCCTCCTTCATTCTCTTCTTTTCTCTCTCCCACTCAGCACGATGCACTACCGCCGCATCAAGATCCGGCACACTTGGGGATCTAATTCGTTCATCATGCATCCACGCCAGCTATCCAAATGTCTGTCTCCTCACGCTCTCCTCCGACACTGGCTCCACCAGGACTACCAACAACCTCGCACGAGCGGTCGTAACCGTTAGTCTCTCCCGTGCTCGGGCCATCTCCAGCTACATCGCCCGCCTCACCAAGCTCCATGGCAGGAGCAAGAGGCAACAAGGCGCACTGCACGGTTATGTGGAGCAGCTATCAGACTTAGTGGACGAGTTGCGCAAGATGCTTGCAGAGCTCTGGCATTTGAGACGTGCATCGTTTGGGACTCACAGTTCTCTTTTTCTTTTTTTATTTTTTATTTTTAGGGCATAAAAAAACCAAAAACCGAACCATGGTTAACCGATCGGCCGATTAATCGGTTGCATCGGTTCGGTTTTAGTTCAGTTAAATACAAAAACCGAATAAATCGGTTCGATTTGGCTAACTAAACTATGAACACCCCTAACTGAAACCTAAGAAAATTGCACGAAATTGGATAACATGTCCCAAAAACTTTTGGATTTTATTTATGATACTGAAAAGATATAATATAAAAAAAATTATAACCGACTAGCATCATAAAAATTAATGATAACCAGTGAGGTACTATTTAGGGTAAAAGACTTGAACCTCCCTTATCTTCTTAAAATGGACTTAAGCTTCCCTAATCTGTTTACATGTGACCTTATGTTTGGGTGAAATTTTTTTAAACTCAGTTTTGCCCTTTTTGCATGGGAGATCATATAGTGTAAAATAAATTTTCTCTTTTTGCTGAAATTCAACCAAGTCTGATTTATTAGTGCAAGAAAAAGAAGTGAATACCGAGAAATTCCAGGTTGCAACCTAGGAATGACATAACAGGTTGTAATCGAGAAATTCCAACTTGTTCAATCAAGTTCCATCTTCAGCAGTGGTAATAGGGAACAAGGGAGAGAGGGAAAGAGAGAAAGAGATAAAAAGGATATTTGGAAGATGAATAAAAAGAGAAACGAGAAAAAGGGGGCGGGGGAGCGTTCGTTGATTGAACTTTGTTCAAAACAGAGTAGTTGCAGAAAGTTTAAATCTTACACAACTTTTTATCTTAATTAGATTAAGAAAGAATTTATCAAAAGAAAATTTCTTTTGAGCCTTTTTCTAATTTCTTTTTTCTTCAAAACCGGTGTAAACACTTGTTTCCAGGGGTGCAATTTTTCCGGATTAGGGTTAGGATTTTGTCAAAATTTCAAT